ATTATTATTATTATTATTATTATTATTAATGTCAGTGCACCCCACAATGTTCAAGCCATGGTGCTCATCGTGTGCCGTGCCCATGGAGCCAAGGCACAGGGGCTCACATGAGAGCTCCGCTTGCCCCCGTGGCTTGCTCCCCTGTGTGCAGCCTCCTGGGCTCTGCAGGATCGAGCGAAACCGCTCCGGTGATGAACCCTGACTGAAGCCCAAGCTGGCTGAGTGAGATAGGGCTGCAGCTCCCCTAATTCCATCAGCAGCAACAGCACGGCCCGATGCCAAGGAGCTCAGAAAATCACCATGAAGCTGTAAGCTCGCAGTGTAAGGAGCAGCGATGTTCGCCAGCGCTGGGAAGAGGAGCTGCACAACCTGGAGCTTTCTGTGGTGCTGTTGTAAGGGTCTGCAGGGTCCCCCCATCCACCAATTCTGGGTGTCAGCGGCGCACACGGGGATGCTGAGGTACCCAGCATCTTCCCAAGGAGCAGGAGCACATCAGTATGAGCAGCCACGCTGCCGCTCCCATGGGGCTGCACAGCACAGCCTGACTGCAGGGAGAGGAAAGCAGCTTCTTTTATTCCCCTTTATCTTGCCAGTTCTTCCTAAACACAATGTAAATTGTGTGCGTGCATCCCCATCCAGTGTGAGAGTGACGGGGCTCATCGCACACCTCACCTTTAATCCCAAATGTGCTCCTAAATGCCATTTAAGAACACAAACTCCTCATCTTCTCTTGCACGACTGGGCCTGGGCTTTTGCTTTTGGCAGCCTGGCCGTGCTCGAGCCCTGGAACTGCCCTCACAGCAACACAACCTCCAGCCAGCATCACCCAGGCTTTCCTGTTCCCAATTACAGACGGATACAACAGCCTCATTTTGCCAAATACAGCAAATGCCTGCCACCAAACCCGCCCCCAAAAATCTGCATAGACATTTTCACTTCCCCTCAGGGTGAGCCGCTTGTCCTCAGTGTTCAACGAGACCTCTGAGGCTTATTCCTCAAAGGTCACCCTCAGGGACAGAGATGGCTTCTGGCTCCCCAGCTCTGTTATAACGGAGGCTTTGCCAGCAGCTGGGCCCCCCTGGGGAAAGCAAATCCATCCCCAAAATGCAGGCACAGGAAGATGCATGACCCACATGCAGTGGTGGTTGTGGCTTGGACGACCAGTAAGTGGTGGGCACTGGTCCCCAGGTCTTGGCGCAGGAGATGCTGCCCTGCATCTCCAGATGTTGTTTTGCTGCCCCACATCTCCAGATGCTGCACTGGTGCACTGCATCTCCAGATGTTGCGCTGCTGCAGCACTTCCACCTCCAGGCACTTGGGAAGAAAACGCTGGGATAGCAGGGAGCACTGCCCTCCCGTGCTTGAGGAGCCTCAGTCAGGGGTTTCCTGCCCCGAAAAAGCCCCTTCCTGGAGGCAGCGGTGTCTGGAAGTTGAAAGACCAGAGATAGGAGCAGCTCCCAGCAGGGTAATTCGGAGCTGTGCTGTGGGGAGCAGAGGCTCAGGGACAAGTGCTGGGGCCACGCAGGGCTGGCACCAAGGGACACTGGTGTCCTGCAGCAGCCACTGGTTTATGGAGGGTGATCTTGTTTTTGGGGGCTGTTTCTCCATTTAACGCTCAATCTCAAGCCGTGGGGCCTCCCTTGCTTGCTCTGGAGCAGGACAGCACCGCAGTGACTGCCCACAAGCAGCGGCACAAAGCCCCATCCCTCGCTGGCTCTTGTAAGGGTTTTGGAGAGTTAAAATGACATCATGCACAGCTCCGGCTGTGCTGGGTACTGCAGCTACCGCCTGCCTCCGCAGCGCCGAGATACGCCAGACTCTGACCTTCCCAGGGCTAAAACCACGAGCTCCTTCCGCCAGCGATGTCCAGCTTGGATCGCTGCTGTACCATCCATGTGGGCTTCTGGTGATGCAGAGACAAACCTCTCTTTCACCTCCATAAACCCGTAACGTGAATCGCACACGGGCTCGGCCGTGCCCTCATCCAGCACCCGCATGGTCCTGGTCCCATGGAGGGGATGGCAGTGCCTGCCCCCAGCCCCGGTGTATTTGCAGCTCTAAGGGGGTGTTTTGGAGGTGTCTGTCGCTACCCATCGATTTTAAAACCTCACAACGAGGGCTGAGCTGTCAGTGGTGTGGATACCTGCGCCGGTCCTGGCTCCAGCTGGGAATGGGCACGGTGGCAGCTCCGCACCCACCAGCATGGAGCGGGAAAGGGGGATGCCAGGAAGCCCCATAAGAGCCAGGAGATAATTATTGCTTTAAGATCTGCAGACAACACAGTGCAAACACCAGGAAAGACGTCTTACAGCCGTAATTACAGCCTGGGCCCAAGCAAGCGCAGGTCTGCGGGAGCGGCCGTAAGAGCAGATGGAAGAGAAAGCTGGAAATGCCGTTTGCACAGCGTGGTGGCCCTGCCTGTGTCCTGCACCCTCCTACCCGACTATTTTCCTCACCTGATTATTTCCCAGAAGCATTTTCAGCTTTTACATTGAGCAATAACACACGTATGGAGAGAAAGGATGAAATTGCTGCAACAAAAAAGGAGGAAACCATGAATCCAGAGCTTGGGAGGGAGGGAAGAAGAACGGGACAGAGTAAGGGGTGAAGTCTCTGGGGGTTGTTAACCTGGAGGTAGTTAAAGAAGGGAAATGATGTGGGTCAGCTCAGTGGGCTGGGTGCCCAAGGCTGTGGCAGCAGCACAGGGGGTACGATCGGCTGCGATCTCTGCAGGTGCCAACAAAACCCCGTGTGCTCTGTGGCAGGATCTGCTCTGCTTGTACTGACACCGACTCTGGGAGCCACCAACGGCCTGGCACGTCCCTGCGCGTGGGTGTGCGGCAGCAGGGCTGCAGGAGAGGTTTGGGAAGGCACAGCAATAGGAACGGGATAAAACACAGAGGGCAGGGACCCGTCCTGATGTCTCCCAGTGAAACGAACCCATTGCTCGTCCGTGCAGAAGTGTGCTGTGCGCACCGAGGGTCCACTGCTCGAATTGCCTGCATCACCCAGGGCTTGGGTGGGAAGGGACCCCAGGCGCCAAGCGGGGTCAGATGTGGGCGATAAGGACCAGGCTGAGCGATTCCTCTTGTACTCTCCTCCAGGAAGCTGCACATGAGCGGCGTTGCACTGAATTTGGGCTTAGGAGATGTGAAAATAAGGGAAACCAAGTGTAGATGCGTTCACCTGCGGTCACGGGCTGGTGTCCACATAATCTGCATGGCATTGATTTGCTTTACCAGTGAGGAAGCGGCTTCCCTGTTTTCTCCCAAGAAGCCCGCAGAGGGGCTGGCCCAAGGGACCAGGACGTCTCTGTCCGGACACGCAGCACTTGGAGCACATTCATTGATACTGGGGTGATAAAACATCCCCATGGGCAGCGTTGGGCGGCTTTACCTCTGCAGAGTAGGTGCAACGCTGCAGCACAACCCCTGCACGGCAGAGGCTTTGCAGGGCAGAAACCATCCCCTCCAGCTCCCTGCACACAACGCACGACAAGAGCAAGAGAGAAATGAGGCCGAGATGGAGAGCGGGACCAGTTCACACACGCCTGGCGGGGGGGAGAGCGGCTGCTACGAGGTGCAAGGCGGGGAGGACGGCAGCGACACACAGCATCAGCCAGGAGATGGATGTGATGCTCCCCTTCCGCTCGGATTGAAGGGTTGCAGGCACCGAGCCGCACGGACGGGGCTGTAAATATCACCTAACAAGGGCTGGATGCCGGCGCGTTGGCACGGTGGAAATAAGCTTTCTAGCGAGGAGAGAACATCCTTAACAACAGGAGAGTGCAGGGAGGTGATGACGGATGTTTTCATTTGGGAGCAGAGAGCCATCAGCGACGCTTGCGCTGGATAAATCACCTCCAGACCCTGCTAATGCAAGAGGCTGGACATGGAGAGGATCGGCTGCAAACTCAGCTGGGCAACACAGGACGGAGTCTCCTGGCTCAAGGCTTCCACATTCATGTGGATGAGCCCCAAATCAAGGGGCTCAGGACGGCGTAGAAGAGTCCCAGCCCCATCTGCATGCTGCAGGGATGGCAGTGGGGAGCTGAAGTGTGTTTCTGCTTTGTTCCCAATACAGAAACCCCAAGTGAAACCAGACCCAGACGTCACTGATGAAATGACATTTGCTTGAGCCAGAAGCTGGAGGTGTGGGAGGGTAAAACACCCCTCCTGGTCCCTGAGATGTGACCACCAAACCCAGCTCAGCAAACAGCACTGGTTGTAGAAGTGACACAGATGAGCGGGACACCCCACTGTCCCCAAGCTGTCCCCATCAGCTTCTCTCTGAGCTCACGGCTGGACAGGACAACCCATTGCCACCAAAGTCCTCCCCAGATGAGGCACACGGGTCGTGCCAGAGACCTACCTGAAAAGCCAAGGTCCAGCAGCACGGCCCGTTTGCGGTCCTTCACGCTGCTGATCTGCTGGAAGTAGAGGTCCACGACAAAGAAGAAGATGCAGCCGAAGAAGGCGATGACGCCGATGGCAATGCCGTAGCTGCAGGCACTCTCATTCTTGTTGAAGATGCAGAAGAGATCGGGGTTATGGCTCTCCGTGTTCACGTAGCACTCGTTCACGATGGAGCCAAACACCACGATGGAGAAGATCTGCAGAGGGAAGGGGAAAACACAACTCGCTGCTGTTTGCATTTACCTCTGTTTTGCAACAGCAACAGAACTGGAAGCAATCCTGCCTTTGGCTCCATGGCAACATGGCATTTGTCAGACAGATCCTGACAGATCCCTGGTTGTGGCCCCAAGCAATGGTTGGTACCCAGGTCCTCCTTCACGTGAGCCTGTCTGCCCTTCAGTGGCTGGGTTTGCAGGGGATTTTACGATGTTATCCAATAGACGGGCCAGGTCCATGACGTTACAGAGGATAACGGAGCTGCCTGACCCAGGGTGCCCGGTGGAGGGGGGACTTGGACCCAGCAGCGCAGGGAGGTGCTGCCCTGGGAACGATGGCAATTTTTCGCCTGGCTTAGCAAGGTTGAAGGATGCGGCGCCTGCATCCATTACCCAGTGACCTGGTTTCGGCTCCATGAGGGACAAAAGGGCAGGGGGTTACTGGTGGCTGCCCAGGACCCCAGGGTGTTTCACGTCCCTGCAGGCAGGGAAGAAGCCAGCTGCCTAAATTAATACCACTGACGATGCTGCACGCTGAAGTAATTCCCTTATCCCTCCAACACCAAAGGCAGTGAGCGGAAGCTGCAGGACCAGCTGCGTTACGATTTGCTCTGGATCCTGCTCTGGTAAAGCCGGGAAAGCGCTGGCGGCCGCTGCGACTTCAAGGCAGAGAGCAGGGAGGGACGCGAGGCGTGCAGCCACCCCTCCATCACACTGTGCACCTCTGATCTCTGCCAGCACCAGCTCCCCACAGCCCTGCACGGCTCCAGGACACAGCTGGGGGCTGTGTGTGCAGCAGCAGAGATAAGAGGCTCCCCCAGCAGCTCCTGCTCCGTCTCCTGCAGTGACAACAGGACACGAAGCGCACAGACCGTGACAGGCGACAGACACAGGCGGCAGCGGATGAACCGCAGCTGGTGGCCTCTGCAGAGTCACCCGAGTGTCACCCACACTGCCAATGCCCGGCCATGGGCCGCCTCCTGCAGCCCTGCACTGCTCGGAGCTGGGTGAAACAGAGCAGGAGCAAACCCTTCAGAACCTGCAGTGACAACAGGACACGAAGCGCACAGACCGTGACAGGCGACAGACACAGGCGGCAGCGGATGAACCGCAGCTGGTGGCCTCTGCAGAGTCACCCGAGTGTCACCCACACTGCCAATGCCCGGCCATGGGCCGCCTCCTGCAGCCCTGCACTGCTCGGAGCTGGGTGAAACAGAGCAGGAGCAAACCCTTCAGAAAGCCCAGACAAGCGTTGGCCAGATCTCACTCCTGCCTGCCCCATCCCCTTTTCTCCCATCCAAACTCCCTCCAGCACTGGGGTGAGGCTGCCCCAGAGCTGCTTCTGTCTCAACCCAGTCCCAATAGCAAACACATCTCAGAAAGCATCCACTGACTTTCCCCCAGGCTGGAGAGGACAACGAAGCAATGGATCTGCAAGGGACTCAGTTACTAAAATGTCATTTATAATTACTAAAATGTATTTTTTTGCTCTGAAGTATTGTTATTTCTCTGAAATAAACAATGAGCAGAAGCAGCAGAGCCTCCAGTGCACGTCCTACCTCAGGTGTGTGGGAGCTCCTGCAAGGACCCACCCCAGCACCCCAAGCCCGATGTGAGGGCACATCACCATCATCATCACCATCACCACCATC